CACAGATTGGAATAATGCTTTGTTCTCTATGATAACTAGAGATATGTTGCATTCCAGTATCATCAGTGAGAATATCCATCACTTAACTTTTTCCCCTTTTTAGGAGAATAGTTTTTCCCATCCAGAGCGATGCTCTCCCTCCTTCTCACTATACCTCACAGCTTTCCCGACCAGACTGGTGACTTTAATGCAATTTTAAAGAGCGTACTGGCTGGTCATCACCAAAGCCGCCTGTGGGAATGAACCAGAGAGAGACATCGCCCTGTCACATCACTGGCTGCACGCCACTTAAGCCTAAAAACCCCAGAAGAGCGGAAGGGCCTTGTAGTTACCCTCGGAGAGAAACCAAGTGTGCGATTGAGTCAGTGATGAGGTGTTGCTCTTCGTCCTCAACTCGAGTTGTTCAGTTACCAAATTAAAGCAATATTTCTTTTTACAGCACGCGGCAGTACCGCTCTCCCCCAGGAATTTCTTTTGTCGTGAGCTGTTTTCTATCTCTACACACGCGGTAGTGAGCTCTGGCCCTCCTTTAATCTCGACTTTTAAAGGTGATGCACTGTTTTGCTGTTAATTTTTATCGATGCTTCAGTATTTCTACACGAGCAAAGCATGCCTTTTGACAAATTTCTCAAATCGTTATCGATGAAACCGCTTCTCTCTTTGATATTTTTTATTTTATATGGATTTACTCAAGTGCATCTCCAAGAAAGGCTTGATTCTAATTAATTTGTGATCATTATCAAGTTATCTTCTGTTCTGTCTTTTGTTTGAACATATTAAGTCCTTTGCTTTTGTACTAGGATATATTTTATCCAGTGGATCTTATGATTGTCTTGTGTTGCACATAGAAAATGTCACTCATTGACTTCACACTGACCTTGTTATTAGGAATCACAGTACAGTAATGTTTTTTATTTTTTATTTTTTTTTAATGAAGGGAATATGTTTGAAGTATTGTTGTTGGTGTTTTGTGGTGAGAGAGGGAGAGAGAAAAAAAAAACTGACTTGCATTTTTAACTCTGTTTACAAATTAGCCAAGATGAATGCTGCAGTTTCCTACGTCGGACAGATTTTTATCCTTGTCACTGATATCCCCAAAAATCGAAAAAGGGGTGAAATTGAAAATAAGTGCAATTAGACCACGCATAAAATCATTCAGAGGTTTATAATCAGACAGCGTTCAACACAGACATTCCCATCAAATGTAAATCAGACAGTACCAGCTTTATTTTATTTTTTTCAGTCGTCGATCTTTCGACTTACCTCTGGTAAAACATTTGGTCACCTTTGAATATTTCATGCATCGCCCGTTATATTTCTTTTCATTGTATCATGCGCTCAGACAGGAGGATCAGTTAGTTACATGGTCGTCAATTTTGTGTCCGACTAATGTGTTGGTGTTGTAGCCCAGACCCTGTTCTGTGTGTCCATCTGTCCTCTTCAACTCTCTTAACTCGAATAGAGCCCTTAACTGCCTCATGCAGCCTGACCTCCCTGTCAGCAGGTGGAGGGGCCATGAGAGAAGTATCAAACAGAGTCACCTGAACTGGGCCTAGTTAGACCCTCATCCTCTGGTACTGTCATTATGAGCAGTTTTTAAATGACTTTTTCATTTTGTAAAGTCTGTCTGAAAACAGTTCTCACGTGCCCATAAAGAGTTATTGGTCATTGTAATCATTCCTCCCGTCTAGACTGGCTGTGTAAAGATTCCTTCCTGATTCCAGTATGAGATATATGGGACAAAATCAACAGTCATGTTTCTGTACAGTAATGATGCACATCGAGCTTAAATGGGGCATCAGAAAGTCGGGGTCAAATCAGGTGAGCATCTTCCAAAGTTTCAGTTATTGTTGTACACAGTTAACGTTTTGTTACTGATCCTCTGCAGCAGCTCAGGAGGAATGCCGCTAAATGCACAAAGCAGCATCACATGGACCGGAGCAATGATTACAACCACTAATAACTCGTACACAGAAGTTAGTATTGTATTAAAATAGGTTTCAAAAAACTTGAATCTATCCCTCAAGATGCTTTGCAATGGGAGATTTAGTAAATAATTTTTTACTACAGTTAAGAACACATCTTACCATCAGAAAGCTCACCACATTGACTCATTTTTCATGCTGTAAGCAATATACATAATACCTAAAAACATTTCATGTAGTCTTGGTGTTTTCTATGCAGTAAACTCAGTATTGTACCCTTCATTGTCTTAAGTACAGCTCTCTGAAGCAGTAGGGCAGGTCGGCTGATGCAGTCATTTTACGCTGATGTCTGGTAAAGATTTTTTGCTTTAAATGACCTTTTTATTGGAATACAAACCAGTATTTTGCTTTACTACTTTCTATTCTTTGCTCAGTGGCCCCAATCTTCCTCTGTATAGCACCCTGTTGAGTCACAGATGGCCAGACATTTATCGTCTCCTCATGATGCCACACAGTCGGAGCCAAATCACTCAAGACGAGTGTCCCTCAAATTTTCATTGCATTATTTTGGCAGCGCGGCTGCCAGGCCACTTCAACATTTGTATTTTAGGTCAGCATGGCTTTGATGGGATTTACATGGTGCAAGCAGTGCCACCTGTGACTTTACCTCCTGTTAATTCTCACAGCAAGACCATCCTGTGCTACTATGAGCCTTTTTTGTTTTCTTCGCCCTCTGCTCTGAGCAGTGTGTGCCATGTTAAAGCAGGAAAGCTCGACTGCAACCAAGATGTCCAATGAATCTTATTCACATCACTGATAGTCTGTTGCTGTAAGTAATTGCACTAAATGCCCTTCTTCACAGTGTTGTAAAATGAAAACTGTTGGTAAATTGAAGCGTTTCAAAATGTAAAAGCACACAGAATCATGGAGAAATGGCAGGTTGTGTGTTTCTGTAGATAGATGTATTTTTCTGTATAGATAGCTTTGATGATGCTTGTCGATAATGCCTTAAATTCTGCTTTGTACAATGTGTGAAATTGAAATAATGGAATGATGCTTCTGGTAGACTTGGTGTTCCCATTTCAGGCTGTACAAGAGCAAATCAGAAATGTCGAGCCTTGGCACTCTGGTCATGCTTATGAGCGGGAAATTCCTATTTACATTTCTCAAAGGGTGACAGGGAATTCTCTTTGGGCCCCCGACGGTTCAACCAAGAAATCTGCAATTTTATGTTTGTGTTTTTTGGTCTTTTTTTTTTTTTAAATCATAATCTATTCCGTTAAATGTTTTAATACACACTTATATTCATACTTACCTTTTTAATTCTTGTGGAAGTGGAGTAAATGGAAGCGCTTGTCTGCACTTTTTACGATGATGATGAGTGTCAGCAATAGAGGGCAATCCATTAATTACACACACACACACATCCATTGTCTTTTTTTATTTTTATTGTTGCACAAGATCAGTAGGTTTTTTTTTTTTATCCTTTGAATTAATGGGTTGTGTTTGGTGTTTTGTGCTTTGGCCCACAGTCTCTGGACAACAGAAAGTGGGTTTAAATAAATTGAGAGAGACAGGCTGCATAAATCAGATAGCTTTCCATTGGTGGTAATGTAATGGTTTATTATGTTTTGTGATGTTGGCAGTGGGGATTTCTTTACTGTGTGAACTACTTCCTGTTGTATGATCCAATATTGAACCGCAGAGGTGAATTTTTAGGACGGTTTCGGTGTTGCTGATGTCGAATTAAATCAGGAGAACGAGAACGGTTAAAAGTTTTAAAGAAGTCTGTGTATTTTCCGATTTGACATTGTACTTTTTTTGGCACAAAGGTGACACTGCTTTTTATGTGACGTGTAACTTAAAAAGAAAACAAAAAACAGCATCTTTTTTTAAATGCCTAAATCTGCAAAATATATGCAATGATGTAAATGTAACATTCAATCCTCAAGTATAATCCAGGTTGTATGAACTTTGTATAGTGAGTTTTAATATCGTATGGCCGTACCAATATGTATTGATCTTTATCAGAAGCCTTAGAGTTGTCGACCGAAAGTGCTCCCTTAGAATACCCTACACCTACCTGACTTTAACAAAGCATTAATATCTCTATTTTGTTGCATCTTTATTTGTACCGTTTTTGAATAAAATAGATTTGTACTGTATATTTGTACCTCTCTGTGAACTACTTAGGGCGGTTTTTGTTTTTTTGTTTTGCTGTTTTAATTCTATGTACTTTAAGGACACAAAGATATTGTATTTTTATTGTTACAGCTAACTTGGAGACATTGCATTTATCATGTTTGTTAAGTAAACACAATATAATATATATATATATATACAAATATAAATATAAACTATTATCCAACTTGTGTGCATGTGTTTCTTTAGTTGCATTTGTGAATTTATTTTAGTTTATCTTTTGTGGCATTAAGTTAATGGTGGGAGAAGTGAGATCTTTCCCTGATGTGACTGTACCGTCAAAAGTTAATTTTACTTAATTAAAAGTTCAAAAGTGTAATCAGCAATGTGACCCTAACTACTTCATATACAGTAGTAACCTGTAATGCTGCATCTTACTCCACAAGTCAATCATAAATAAATAAATAAAATGAGTTTTTGAAATTGCACCACTTGAAATGTCACACAGGATTTTCAGATCACGTGATTTTCAAAGTACAACATTTAAATGTTAAATTCTGTGGTATTTAAATTGTAATAATAGTATAAGTAGTAGTTTAATAGTAATTCAGTTTCACAAATAGGTATTCTTGTCTTTCATTTTTTATGGGTACTATTTGCTATAATATGAATGTATTAATTAAACATTTAGTGGAATAAAGACAAAGAACACATTTGAAATACTCCAGTGCAAATACATTCTACACTGACTCTGCAAAACCTCCAACAAACAAATGCCATAATTCTTCAATATTTTACATTCAAACTCCACCTGCACTTTAAGAGAAGACCTCTCACTGTTACAGAACTGTGTGACGCTGTAACCATTAAAAACAAATGTGTATTTGTGTGTATAAAACAAATGAGGATGGAAGTGACAAGGGGACGCTACCCTTATAGTAAAGTCAATGTTTATTTCCACATTCTTTACCAGGTTTCATCACGGTCTGTACATCTGTTAATCCAGTAACAGAGGATGGCATCCCCAAAGTGCCACCCAGTCAGAATGCATTGAAATCGCAGCAAGCATGAATGTTCTCATTAGCAGTTTAGCTCATTCATTTGGCCTTAATCAGAGAGATTTGTTTTGTAAACATGGACATTGAGAGGAAATCCTGATAGAATTAATATAGAAAGGCCAACGTTTTTACCAACATTTTTCTTTTGATTAAACTGTATAAAAACAGGCAGGCATAAACTAACAGTAGAACACAAGCTCATATTGAACCATTCTAGGACAAGTGCAGTTTCACGACATGCAGTGCTTACCTAATCCATACCGAAAGTACTGCTGGTAAAGGACCAACGTCACTTCAGAGTACTTCCTTTGCAATAGAATGTCAGACCACAGACGCCGCAGTTTTCTGTCGCATTAATCCACTGTAGGGCAAAGGGGATCACAGCAATTTCAAAGAGCAACCTCTGAGAATACCCAGTATTCATAGTCTGAGAGAAGAGAGAAATAAATGACACCTGAAGACTTTGTCGAGAACACTGATCTGCCCTTGGTACAGTATGTCATGGATAGGATGGCAGTGAGACCCTGTTGCTTTCATGTGCTCAACTTGGAAGAGAAAACATATCACCGAAGACAAAGTGTCTCTAGAAAAGTCACAACTGCCTAAAACTGTCATATGATAGATCTATAAATGATTCTTATGGACCAGGGTGTTGGTACTAGGCTCTGAGCCCTCTCACTGAGTTAAATTGCCTGAGAAGCTAAACTCTTTACATTGAAGTCTGTTTAAATTAAAGTTGCATTCTGCATAGTTTCAGTGAAAAGTCAGTTAATTTCCCTTAGAATAAATAACACATCTGTTGCATAGAGGTTTGATGCACTCCTAGAAAAGCCTCTGAGGATGAAACAAAAAATTCCTATATTTTCTTTTCTTTGTTAAATTTGCTGTAAGAAACAGCCAGGTAGATTGACTCTCATCTAGGAGTGACTCAAACAGAACCAGTACTTGTCCTTGTTTCTGATATTCCTTGAAGAATATTTCAGAAACTGCTCATTTGACACTGTAAATGTTTGCATCTGGTGAAGTGAAGTCAAGAAGAACTGGAGGTAACCTTACAGGCAGGAAATTAAACAAGGGATATCCAAACATGGCCTCTAATTTAAACATTAAAACGATTTTATACCACCGACGGTAACAAAATAACCCAAACATTTCCACAAGAAAAATATATTCACATCATATTGCATAAATATGTGCTGGAATGAGGTTAATGAATATAGATTAATAAAATCTCTCTCCCAGTATGGGCTGTATGTGTCATGATATTAGCCCCAGTGCTCAGTAACGGATGGGGATGAAAAATAAAACACGTCTAAACAGGTGTTTAAGGTGAGTTCCTCTGTCAAATGAATCAATAAATATCATTCATTAATTATGCTGACGGGATACATATGAACCCAATTTAAGTGGCACAGGTTACATATACTGAAGGTACTGCAGCTTTTACGAAGCATGTTGATGCTACAGAAATTGCATTATCTGTGTATGATCCTCTATATAAGAATAACCCTCTTTCATATGATGTAATTTACTCAAAAAGAGGAAAACGTGTGTATATGTGTATATGCGGGCAGAATTCAAGTAATGTGACAAATTCTGTTGTCAACAAGTAACATATTGTACGGTTTCATTGTGACCACTTACTGGAACATTTTAGCATAATATTCCTTAATGCGATGAGCCCAAAATATATAAGAGGTAACTAATGTATTGTACAGTACAATAACAGCAGCACAGACTGAACTTTTTTTATGAGCCCAAGAAAAGTTCTGTAACACAAAGTAAAAAAAGAAATGACATTGGCAAAATATTCAGAGTGTAGCAATGTAGGGAAAAGAAAAGAGATTCAGATATTGGCAAAGAGAATGTAAAGAGGCGAATGCATTAAGTTGTACAACTCAGGAGATGGGGAGGGGGAATGTTGCTCAACACTGGGCGTGTTCAATAGGACAGAACATTTGACAGGTTAAAACAAGTTTATCTGTTAAGAAGCGTTAAAATCAAACCTGGGAAATACATTTGGAACTGATTTGTTTGTAAATCAGCTGCTCCTGTGAATGTTTGTGTCCTATTAAAGTGCCTGAGTGATAAATGCGAACACAAATCGTGGAAAACAACCCGCATCCTCTGTAGTAGTGTACAGAACATATAGAGCTTTGGAAGCTTGGAGTTGGAAACGCAGTAAGCCACAAAACAGAGAGCGTGACCACGGCGCCAAGCTGAGGTAGTAGTTTGACTGAATATGAACTTCCCAGGGACCCACGGTGGCAGCTTGAAGAGAGAGGTGTAGCTACCGGTAAACCCGAGTCACTGGGCTGGCGGAGTGGACCAGAGAGGAGGGGGCTGTGGCTACAAAGTCCCCACTCCTGTCACTGGAGGTCCATGTGCAAAAAGATTTGTTTCTTTCCTCAAAGGAAGTATAACTGCTCCTACTAGAATGAACTGTGTTAAATCTGCTAGCCCACTGACGAACAGATAAATCTCTTTACAACATGCTTTTAGGTCATCATCCATACGACATGAAACATTCTCAACCCTGTTCCCAAGGTTTTCTAGACTGGAATAAATTAGAAATGTATTTAACATAGCAGTTTGTGTGAAGCCGCTGGACACAGAAGGCTGGAAGTAGAACCAGCTAGGAATGGTTCACTGTGACCCTGGCAGCCTGATGGCAGAGTGCAGAGGTTAATGAAGCTGCTAGAAGCCAATTGGTCCGTCCCCCCAGTGGCCTGCTCCAATTAGGGCAGCTTCATGAACAGTCCATTATCGATGGAAGGGACAGGCATTGGGCAGGGGAACTGGAAGAGACTCATGTCTGCTGTGAGGGCAGCCATCGCAGCGGGGTCGTGCTCTATCTGTGTCCTCAGAGCAGGGTCGATCTTCTCCAGCCGTCGTTTGATCCTCTTCGCCTCCCTCTCGCGGATCAGCCTGGCCTGCCTCTTCTCCGGCGTCTCGTTGGCCCTCTTCAAGCGCATGGCCTCCCTGTCCCTCTGCAGCCTGCGCGCCCGCTGCTCGTCCGATTCCTGCATCCTCTGCATCCGCTTGGCCTCGCGGTCCCGCAGCCTTCTCATTTCCCTCTCCTCTTCCGTCTCGCACGCCCGCTTGTTCTTCTTGGCCGTTCGCTCGCGTTCTAGACGCTGCAAGCGGGCCTCCAAGGGTTCGTTCTTCCTACGCAGGGCCCATTTCCGCAACGGTGACTGGGCCTCCACTAGCTGCTGATAGGCCACGCAGCTGTTGCACACCAGCAGCACTCCGGCAGGATACACCGGCATAGGGCTCAGGATGTCGGGGATAGGAGGAAGGCTGGAGGAGGAGGAGTTAAGAGCATCGGGGATGGATGCGAGTGATGGCCCTTCAGAGAGGAGACTGTCGGGCAATGAGGGAAAGGAGGGCCCTTGGTCTGAACCTCTGCATGGTCCTGGGCCCGAGCACGGTCCAGATCCCGGGCCCGGGCCGTGACACTGGCTCGATATGTGGCCTGGTCCCTGGCAGGTTCGATGGGCTTGACATAGGTTGGGGTTGAGGTCCGCTGCTTCACAGGGGTGAGGGCCCTGACATGAACTGGGGCTTGGGCCTGGTCCATGGCAGGAGCAGCTACCAGGGCCTGGGCTGGTCATGGGGCTGCTGGAGAGGGAATGGGACATGGAACAGGGGTCCCTTCCACCAGAGAGATCTATCCTGCTTGTGTCGAGGACATCTTTAAGCTTCTCCCTGTGAAAAGTATTAAAGAGCTGGTTTTATTGATGTCTGGATACTTTCTAACAAACACTAGACCCTTGAAACATTTTTCTCTTAACCTGACCTCCTGATTTCCACAGCTTTTTTCTCTCATTTCAGTCAGGTGTATTTTCCTTCAAAGTGCGCCTTAGTGAGGCACAGTTCTACATTTAGTTTCTCTAGTTTAGATTCATATTAAGCCCTCAAGACCCACATCTGGGCATCTCCTCATCTCCTAAATGTCTTTACCTTATAAGCCATATAAGCTACACGTTATTTCATCTCCAGAGCTAATGATCAAATCGTACTGACACAGTTGCACCTTGTGTGCTAGCGACTATCATCAGTCTGCACCAAGGCTAAATACATCAGCTTGTTATATGATGGCTAAACTATTCAGCTTGCATCACAATGACGTTACGAAGGGTACAACACAGACATTTTGGTGCCAATTAACATTTGCCTTTCATTCATGTTAACCACTAGTCAACAGCTTGTAACCAATCCTTGGTCTGTATGGTCACATAATAACATAATAACTTATCTATCAAGCTTCTATGATTGACATCATTTAAAATGATTTAGTCCAGCAGGGAAATAATGACTCATTTCCCCAACTAGCTAACTAACTAACTAACCTGTGGTTAACTAAGAGAGGAGTTTATCACAGACTGTTTCCAGATAACTCTATGAGAACAAAAACTGTGCCAGATATTTTAAAACTGACTTCATTCACATTGTTGCTGGCTGTGACATCCGACTTTTCCCACACATAACTGTGCTCAGTTGAGATGGAACACCTGATTCTATCATAATTTTCTTTCTTTCTTTTCTCTGCTTTTTTTTCACTCAAAATCAAAAATACATTAGAGCTTCTTACTATGTTTCTCCTTTTATGTGTCCTGACCTTGCCAGTGCTGTTTAAATTTCAACGTAGTGGTAGTTGCTAAGCAACATGCAAGTTTATTTCCATTAAATCTGTCATTCCAGCACTAATTTTATTCATCCCTCATGTTCTGCATCCTGCCTAATCTCACACTTCGAGAACCACTGCTCTATTGTGTTCGAGTGCAGCATTAAAGACATATTTTAACTTACATCGCAACACCTTTTGACCACCTTGTTGGATGTACAGAAGGAAAATCTCCAGTCAACCTAAACATTTGTCGTGTGAAGGACTGCAGATACTGACTCAAAATCAGTTTTTGATGTTCTATGAGGAATTAAGCTGCACTATTTAAAACTATTTCTCCTCAGTGATGTCTGCTGCCTTTGTCCTATAAAGGGATCTGTCGTGGGTGATCGATCCCTGAGATATTGTCTGAAACATTTAAATATAGATAACAACAGCAGGAACATGATTAGTAGCAAAACAGAAACCCTGTATTTTATATTATATATTTTCATAAATGAATTATATATTTATTTATGATTTGATTGAAAACTGTGGAAACAGCTGACTTTTTAACTTAAATGTTAAAATGATTGATAATATGTACACAGAAACAGCAATAACACACCTATATCTATAACACTGCATCTAAAACATCTGTAGACTTCTCCTTTAAAAACTGAAAGCAACGTGCGTTAAAGACTTGAGACAAGGGATACAGAAGAGATGAGCCGAACCTGTTAAAGTTGTTGGTGTCTGTAAAGCGTGCGCCACAGACAGCGCAGTTGGAGAGGCGGTCCTCGGAGTGGATGAGAAGATGCCGTCCAAGCGAGCCAGGCGAACTCAGGGCTCGCCCACACACTGGGCACACATAGCTCTTGGTGTTGCTCATCATAGCTGTGTGCTGTTAAAGACAGCAAAACAAGATAAGAACAAGAAAAAAAGACATGATGATGACAACTGTCTACTTGTTGTTGTAGTTGGTTCTAGAAAAGGAACAAATTACTGCATCAACAACAGGAAATTGTTAAACACTTTTTTGCTTGTGCACCTTGCCAACCATGAATGAGAAAATATTAAACGCAATACACGGCGTAAAACACAGTATTGTACATTAAAGCAAGTTAGCATTTAATCAAAAATGGAGAAAGCTTTTTAGAAAAAGCAGGCAGCGTACACTACATGTTGCTATTTACTGCTCTAAATGGAATACTAATGTCATACAACAAACAACATCATTAAAATAACATAATTAAGTTGACCCAGTAAAAATGAAAAGACGTTTCAAATTATAAATAATTTGAGCAGCATTCAAATGTGGTCCTCAGACGACTCTGGTCTTGCATTTAACCAATCACTTACCAATGTAACTATGGTAATTGGTATTCTTGTGGCTTGTGCCACTGTCCATATGGTCTCCAGGGGTTAACAAGTCAGACCCCGTTGTAATTGCTCAGCATGGCGGTAATAGAATACACACTCATCTTTCAGCAGCTTTAAGCGAAAGAACCACAAACTGCCTGACATTTGCAAAAAAACAACAAAAACACATTTACAGTGTTCATTGTGTGAATTCTGCAAATGCTGAAGTAAGGTATAAATCAGCTCCTGAGTGTGATTGGTGAAGACACGTATAATGAGAGAGGAAGGTACGGATTACTGTAAAATGATGGATAAAGAGCCTGGACGAAGAGCTCAACCTGCAACTCCAGCATTTTTAAGAGCGCTATTTACCGCCAGCACATATATAAGAATCTTTATATTATTTGGCACTGAATCCAATTTTATGTACCCAACTGAACACTGTCTTAACTTGTGAACCAACTTCAATAGGATTTTTTTTTCTGTTTTAGTTTTTAAAAGACAGACTGTGCAGTTACATGACACAGTAAGCACTAGCTTGGCTCATGCAAGTCAACAACTTCTCCCTCAACCTGCATTTTACTGAAGTACTGACGCTGAAAGCTACTTAGGGGCTTTACAGGTGATGACCTACTGCTAGCTTATTAGAAACAGATTGCAATAAAGGATCTAAAGCCGCTCTGTTTTCATGGTTCTGTTCTAGATAAGAACAGGCGAGACAATGTTGTTCTCACCTGGTAGACATGGGAGATGAGCTTCTCAGGGCTGCTGAAATCCAGCGTGCAGAGAGGACAAATGAAGTTGTTGCCGTGGTCTGCCCCTTCCTCGCTCTCCTGAGGAAAACCAAGCAGCATTAAAACACATTTCAGGAACAAAGCCAGTGCTATATGCAACATACACTTACACTTCACAGCTTGATTCTTGATATCTTATCCTTTTTGATATTCATTTTATTTCTAGAGTTATTATATACAATCAATTTTGTCCTTATCTCTTGCTGGGCCTTTGTGGAGTCACTACTCATGTCACATGTTTCCAGCTGAAGCATTTCTGCAAGTGGTATACAGTGAGGTGTCGAGTGTGTGAATGAGCAAAATTCTCACAAGTCCTAGTGACTCACTAACAGTGACACGATGCTGTGTGCTGTCACAGATGTGACTCACACACAAGCTGAAATGCATTTTCAACATTTTCAGACAGAAGGTCCAGGCACAAAAACATATTGGCTGATACCAGGGGTGTTCTGTTGAAGTCCATTACACGCACATGAAATTGAAGCGCTCCTCATTTTTCTCATAAAAATCTTAAAATAGTAAAATTATATAATATAATAGTTGAATGGGTGCTTTACGTTATAATTTTAAGTAGCAGTACGTTTTTTTTTTTTCCTTTTTACAATGTTCTGTCCCCTGCAGCACAGCTTGTTGAAACTCAGTTTGTATTTTAAAGTTTTAACAGATGATCTGATGCAAAGGAACCACAGATATCAGTACATCCTGTTCCTGTTGACCCCTGCAGTAATTCGGTCAAATTATCTGCTATTTGTCTTAGGTTGAACACATGGGCTGTGAATCCACAGTTAAATAGAGCTGAAAGATAAGTTATACTGAATCTGTTAACACTGCATGACATACATTACATTCCTAAAGCAAACCTTAAACAGTTGACATCTAGATCCAAATTAATATTCACACCCACTGTGGTTCTGTGCACAACTGATGGGCGAGAATTGAAAAAAACCCTGCAGCTATTAAGTTGTCAGTTTTCACAGCACACAAAAGTCTCGCCACAATAACAGCTACTTCGTTTGTAAACCACATATCGCAAACTCTGCACCAACACAATGACGCAGGGCAGATACTTATCAATAATTTATCTCTGTGCCACATGAACAACTGCACAATACAGTGGCTTATAGTGGAGCGAATGGGCGGTACTAAACTAACTCAAGAGGAGGCAAAATGAAGAAGAAAAACAGAGTCAATGAAATAAAGAATAACACTGTAAACAAAACATAAGTGGCAGAATTTTTTTTGTTTGATGTCGGTACCAGGCCTCTCACCTCCTTGACTCCCGCTCCTTGTAGGCGGCACTGTGATCTCTTGGTGGTCATGTGGTCGTCGGTGGAGGTGTTGGAGGATGAGTCTTCACCGTGGTTGTCAGGGTCACTATCACTGTCTTCTATGGAGGCAAACACAGCCCTATCAATACAGACAGACAACAGAACACAGAGCAGGGCTTACTCTCACTAACACCCCTCAGTCCGAGGACATCTTATAGAGTCCATCCAGGCCTTCCCCGTCCCGTCCCGTCCCGTCCCACCATCCTGTACCTGAGATGCTATCCTGCTCTTGGACTTCCTGGGAGTTGTTGCTGCAGCATTCACTGTCTTCGGTGAATTCGTCCCTGCCATCCATGTTAATAGTGTGCTGGAGCCCTGTGATGCCTGAAGTGTGGAATGGCCCTGGAAGTAGACAGACAGTAGCAGTCAGTAAAAGAAGTGTTTCCAGTGAGCACAATGAACTGTTCTGACTGGAGAGAAAACATGAGGAGCGCAGGTGACTGCCATATATACTGTAAACTAAACCTAAAACAGAATTGCACAGATTTCATCGCAGATTTCGCCGTCTCTGTGTTATCTATCTTTTTACAATTTCCGGGTGTATTCGACCAATGTTGGCAATGTTGCAACTCAGTGAGCTCAACTGCTTTGAGAAGATACTGGACTTTAATTTGTTTTTTGCATCAATGAGCTAAAGTACCTTGATATGTTAGGTATTTAAGTTGCTGGATTTGCAAAAAAAAAAAACAGACATTCGCTTATGATGTTTCAATGTTTCACAATTTCGAAAGACCGTTTTTATATGACAACGTACTGCAAGTTCCTGCATATCCACAGAGGCAGAACATACGGACAGATGCAGCTCTTTAAAATATGTAGATTCATAATATTTAATATAAAGCCAAACTTCAATAAATGAAGTGTGTTTTAATACAGAAGCCACCCTTTTACCCATACATTATATCTAGCATATGAGTGTCTTATCTCCATAGCAACATAGACACAGCATCTGCTGTCATGGCGTACCACAAAAGGTATTGATTTTCCAACACAGTGCATTCACCTATACAGTAGCTAAGCGTTCTCGTTTTGTTCACAGCAAGACACATAAAATGTGTCCAGGCCTCTGCACAGAACCGTAGAGATTATGACACTAAGTGAAACCTCTGATCAACAGCTCAGCCCTATATGGAAAATTATTTTTGCAATTCTACATTTTTCTCAAAACTTTTGGGGATCCACTTGTGATGTGGACCCCGAGAACTTCTTCACCCGATAAATTGGGCCGCTTTCACACGAGCCATCCAGCACTGGAACACAATGACTGCTAAGGCAGCAAAGCGAGCCCGCTGACATACGTGCACACACATTAACTTCATTTGCATCCCAACCCCCACTTTTTCACACACACATATACACTTGCAGATAAATGCTAGCTCTGTTCCACAGCCATGCTGCAGTCCCACGGGGGAAGCAGCCTGCACTCTTTTCCTCTAGCTAACTGCCTTGCTGCTCAGTGTGTTTCTCTCTCTCTGTCTCTCTCAGTACCACCCACACACTGAACAGCCTGGCTCGCCCTCTGTCCTCCCTGCTTGTATGTAGCTCTGACTACTTCCATATCTATACCATCAGCTCTGAGGGGGAGGTTTAAGCTTCATACCATGACAGCCCATATGTGGCTCATTTAACTCTTTGTGATGCCACTCTTTGTCTTACGGTAGCCCCGTGGGTTGCAGGATACTGTCAACAAAAAAACAAACAAAATCCCTTCACTTTTCTTATTATCACACTTCCGTCCAAACCTGTATTTAACTGCCAACGCTGCTTAATTGAAAGCTCCTCTGGCATTCACACACGAGAACATCCCACTTCAGATAGCTGCTAAAATTAATGGTAGCTTAAAATCCAATTTTCCTCCCTTGTGTGCTCCCTCTCCATTAACACAGATCAGAGATGGGAGAGAGATCCTGACTTCAGTTACCTGAGACTGACAGAAGTAATTACAGCCCTCGTCACTATCCTGAGGTATTGAACACACACTCACACTTTCTCTGCGTGTGCCTGATGAAAACAGAGGTAGACTCTTTGAGGAGGCTTGTCGTTGTACTATTTTGCTGGTGGTGAGAAGTTAGTATGTGAACGCAGTTTGGGCACTTTTCCCATAGAAATCAAAGCATTCATTAGCACTGGTAGAGTGGGTCGGAGTATTGAACTATGAACTACTACAACAAGCTGGCTTCACGGCACATAGCCAATGATTGATGTGTGAGAGATACCCATCCCCCCACTGCTAGGGCTCTGTCTGTACATCTGTCTCTCCTCGCTCCCTCCCCTCAGTCTCTGCCACTGTGATGTTATCTCCGAGTCTGTGTGTCTGTAGGCAGGAGGTGACGCAGTGTCTGACTGAATCCAGACAAAGAGACAAACTCATCAGCCAACAGACACACAGAGGAGGGAGAGGGGAGAGGGGAGGAGGGGAGGCAGTGGGGGGTGGAGGGGGTAGCGCGCAAAACAAAACAGACAAAAGACAGAATGCCAAAACTCTACTCAAACACCAAGCAATGGGGGTCCTGTTGAATTCAAAGCCCCCTCCTTGTCCTTTTCAGCCGCCGTCCCCTCCAAAACACACACACACA